CTCAAATTAACCAAAAAAAAAAATTCGATAAAATTTTGACTAAAATTCGAGAAAATTTTGACTTTGAGCAGCTATAACTCAACGAGTTTATGAATTTATATGACTAATAATAATAGTTAAGTAATTTGTTAGTGTTCGGCCGAGCTTCTCCTCCGATTTGCGGCGTGCGCCTTGATGTTGTCTCACAAACGAGAGGGACCTACAGTCTTATGTCTAGTCCAAACGATGATTGTATTTTTTATGAGCTGTCTTTCATGGTAGAAAAAAACTGCTTCCTTTCTTTCTATTTTGGTGTTAATCGGAAAGTGGGCTGGATACCAGGCTCTGTTAAATGGTAGTGCGCACCAAACCACAAAAAAAAATCGTGCAATATAATTTTCTAGGACCGATCAAAACCTCTGAAACTGTAAGAATGTATTAACTATACGCCATTTAAGTACTATGCAGGCTCAGATTCTTTAAATTCCTAATTTTTTTTTTTTGTAATAACTAGATTTGACCCAAACAGGACAAGCGATTAAAAAATAATAATTTATAAAGATACTGCACCTGCGTGGTACTTAAATGATATGCAATCAATGTATGAGTTCTTACAGTTTCGAGCGTTTTGCTTGATTCTAGAAAACTATATTGACATCAAAAGAGAAGAAATCATTTTCTTATGTGTTATTCTTATGGGAAAGAGGTCGCGCATCGAACCTCTTAGAATTTCCGTAGAGCGGGGAGGCTCATGGAGGCTCATTACTATACCAAATAGTAAAATTCCAGTCGGAATCCGGTCGCATTGCAGGTTTTTTTTTGTTTTTGTTGGCGTGGTCTAATGTATATGGAAATCGAAGCATAAATACCTGCATAAAAGGCAGCATTACATTCACAAGCAATTTGAAGTGCATTTCTGTACTATTTCTTATTTTCCTCTTCTATGTACCTACCCTCCAGTACTGCTGGAGTCAATCGCTACTTTTGAACCGCTACTGCACCGAATCCTAGGTAAGTAGCTACTCTATTAACCCGTGGTAGTGCAGATGGTAGTGCATAGTCGAACCAGTCGTAAGTCACGCAAGTGACTACTTTAGTAACTCCCGGTAGTGCAGAGAGAGCCGATGGGGACTACCGCCTAGGACATTGCCTTGTAAAAGTAATCGATGAAATACACTGCAAGTAGTCGGTCGGTAATTGACGGTGTTTATCAGGTAGCTACCGATTCAGCAGTCCTGTAGTCACTCCCCCGTACTGCAGGGTACATACACACGTACACACATATGTAAGAAAGTGCCTATGTATATGTAAAAACATTATGTAAACAAATAAGTATTTTAGTGGATTTTCGAGCGTGTGCACTAATCGCATTAATCAAGCGGAACAATTGGATATGGAAAAGCGATTAGAAATAATTGCCCATTGCACAGGTGATAAATTATAACAAAAAAAAGAAGAAAATAAATACTCGCAAATTAATCGCATTTTTATCTAAAATTCCTAATTTATCGAAAGTGTTATTTTGTTTTTGTTTTGGCCCCTAGCTTTCCTAACTGGATTGGACTTCCTATGGTTTTTATTTTAATTTTAAGGGCTGAATGCATTTTTGCATTCATTTGAAACCAAATGCTGCTTTTGGTTTGCTAGTAAGCTTTCAAAAGCTTTATCACGAAAAATATATGCAGTCTTTTTGAGCCCAAGAAGCGATCATATGAAAGGCTAAAGATGAAGTTAATTTGATTTTATGCCCCCTGGGCTCTTGGTTCTATTTTGAGTTCTGAGGCTTCAGAGCATGAGATGCTATCGAAAACAATATAAGCTTTAGATTAAGCTTTCGTTTTTATGCTCTATGAATAAAGAGAAAGATCACGACCCAGGAGCTATGGCGGCCGCCATTGGTTAAATGCGACTATTTATCATTGAATAGAACAAAAGTTTGGTGTAAGGTAAAGTAGCGTTCAAACGTTAGAAAAAGTTTATCTATTCGCGATGGCCCATGAACGTAAAATTTAATAAGGAAAAATGAATTAGCAACACGAGTTTACGGGGTGTACATAGGTCAGTGGTTAACGCTTCCGACTTTGCTCATCGATGACGCGGGTTCGATCCCTGCTGAAAGTCAAGAAGAAAGAAGTCTGATGAGGAGATGTGGTGATCTCCAAAATAGCTGCTACAACGTCCAACGCTTAGACTTTGTTGCTTTTTCCATTTTTTGAATAAAATAATCGTGGTACAAAGCTCAATAAAAATATTAAAAGTAAAATTGTAGGTTTGTGGGCGCCATATCTTTTTTAAGGTCGCTTAAGTTATTTTCTGGATGCGGAAACCCCATAACCGTCTACTTTTTATAGACCTGATAAAAATGGAATCCTAATTGTTGACCTCTTTGAAAAAAATCGAAAAATTTAAATCATTTAAGATTAGGATTCCTATCACGCTTTTGTATTCATATATCATATAGACAAACTCTTTCCGTCTGACTTTTTAACCGACTTCAAAAAAGGAGGACGTTACCAATTCGTCGGAATATTTTTGTATGTATGTGGCCGCATAACTTTGGACTGCGTTAACCGATTCCTACAATTTTGAGTTGATCCCATACTAATTAGGTTTAGACATTTCTCTAAAGCGTAAAGAAGAACTTGGTACATTCTTTTCGAGTTGTTCTAACAAGCTTGTATTTCAACTCCTACGGTAAAATTAATAATAAATAAATGAGTTTGAAACCTGCTTTTTTTATTTAAAGTGGCGGTTTTATTTTTTCTCTCTGATGTCAGAATTTATTTTAAAGGACTTTGATATGATTAATTAAAAAAATTATTTAAAAAATTTAATGCAATGTATAATAAAAATATGTGTACCAAATGAAAGAGGAAATTTCTTTAGAATTAAAAAAAAAATTTTTTTGGATTCACAAGGACGGATAGGCAAATTTTTAAGCTGATAAAGTTAGAAGGACGAATTTCTCGGTGTTATATGCGTAGTGGGCTAGACATTTATAAAAAAAATATTAACTATCAAATAAAAAAATGAAATATTGCCAATACTGGTCAAGAAAAGGAATTTCTGTTATTGACATCCGTGCATATTAAAAAACCCAAAAATTCCGGATTCCGGATTATTTGCCAAGAATAACACGACTTTTGGGACCTAAAAAGGCCAGGATCCCGGGATTAACATTTGACATTGCTAGTACGTAAAATAAAATTTAGAGAGCAGTTTCTTCATAGAATATCAATAACTTTTTTAATTCTGCTAACAGTCAGTTTCCGCTGTGGTGTAGTGGTAAGCAGTGCGCGATTCCACTGAAATTATTGACAAAAGCGGCAGTAAGAGATTGTTTCAGAAGTATAAAAATATTTTCCTGTCAAATTTTGCGGCAAAGTAAGAGTCCAAATCGGTTGGAGACTCTTGTCTTTCGTCTAGATTAAATATCGTAGGTTAATTAAATATTATGTTACCAGGCTAGTCTGATCTATGTTTTTAGTGCGAATAAAACTACATTATTCCACTTTCTGGCCCAACGTTTCGCTAAAACATTTTTAGCATCTTCAGGGGCAATCCAGCTTTATTAAATCTGCCACAAACCAAAAATACAAAGGCTCATTGTAATTAAAAATTAATGAATATAGCATACAAACATACATATACATATATGGAATTAAAAATTATAAACAACAATTTGAGGACAAAAAACTCACAATGTTTACGAACGTAGGTTAATATTCAGCGCTTAAGCTTATAAGGGAAATCTCAGAAAGGTAAAAAACTTTAGAAAAGTATAGTACCTAGTGTACGAAATTTTTTGATAGAAATGATTTGAGCTGTTTTTATACTCGTATGAAACTTTTACATGTAAAGGTTTACTTTGCTTTCTCCCTAATTGCCGTTTTTGATGACGTTTTGTAAAACCTTTTAGAAAAAGTAAAAATACCTCTTTAATATAGATATTAATGGGTTACAATTTGTGAAAAAATTGCAAGCAAGGTTTTACTTCGTGTTTCTGAAAATATGATTTCCGAATTTATTAGAAATCGTTTTTGACTATTGCTGGGACTAATCGTGTTTTCGGATATCCGAATATTCGTGCATACGGATCAAATCCGGATATCCGTTCTATTTTTTATTCGGCTGTTCGGTTAATATCCTTTACTTTGCTCTAGGGATATCCGATTACTATCTCTTATATTTTTTGTACAAATATCTTGTTAAAATCCGTTTATTTTGCTCTCCTAATGTCCGGATAAAACCCGTTTAATTTGCTATCCATATATTCGGTTAAACTCCGTTCATTTTATTTCCCGAATATTCGGTTAATATCCGAATATCCGGATGTTCAAAAAATTCGGGTAGAACTCCCAGTTCTTATTTAGACATGAAGCGTTTTCATAGTCAAAATAAAGTCGACTCTAAAGTTAGTTGCAGCTTTTTTGACGGATATCTCATTTAAAATTATGTCAAAAACCTGCAACTAACTTTAGACTTATTTTGACCATGAATGTGCCGCATAATCTTTATAAAATAGTAGAATTTTGAAGTAGAAACTTCTATCCACGAAAAAATTGTGTAGTGTGTGTGAGCAAAACCGTCTGAATCCTTAAAAAATAGAAATTTATGGATTACTCAGATTTAAATTCTGCCAGCTTTGAGTATAAAATGCATTTACACATTTATTGTTTTTACAAAATGCCAGTGTGAATTTGTGAAATTATTCGAAATACAAAAATTTAGTTAATAAAAGTAAGTACTTACTGCTTATACGTACAATTATCTAAATGTGTCTGCGTTGCGGCTAATGTTAGTTAAAGTTGCTAAAATGATGCTAATTCGTCGGTGCTAAGATTTTGTGGGTTTTTACTTTGCAGTCTCCAGCAGTTATGTGGGGTATTTAGTATGAATTTGATTGCAGTTGTTGTTCTTTACTTTCCCTAGTTTATTTGTAGTGTAGACGAGTGTACTCTTTTTTATTGGTTTTAAGCACTTTTATTATCTTTTTATTACACTTTTTTTTTAGTTTTTTACTTTTAAACTAAATTTTACTAGTAACTGTGGGTTTTCTGCGGCGGCAACTAATTGGTGGGCTTTTTCTACAAGCGTTCAGTCAATGCTACACAGAAGAAGAAGGTGTTAAAAAATGTAAAAAAAGATATGTGATAGTGTTAGTAAGTAGATGGGTTTATTATGTGGTCGATTATATCAGCTAAAGGGGGGCTTCACCACTGACGTCTAAGCCACTTGCTTATAGAAACTGTGCCGTGCTGCTTTTGTTTTGTTGTTTGCTTCCAAGCTTGATGCACCTGAGCGAGGTTCTTTTTCTAAGTACTGTCCGGTTGTTTGTGTGTTTAAAGCACTGGACTATGTACATACATATGTACATGTATTAGGGCGGTCAAAAAAAAACTTTACTTGGAATCTTAATTCTGTCACCCCCTCGGAGTGTTCCATACCGGAATAAAGCAATATTATTTTAAAATCAATAAATATCCAAAAGTCGCTTAAAATTTAGGAAAGAAGTAAATTTTTCATAGAAATGGTGTAGAATTGTTTTAAATTAATATTTTTTGATCGGAAAACTATTTCTCTTTAGGAGACTTCTAATAATAATACCCAACTTAACCATTTTTTAACCGTTTTCCAAAAAAGGAGGAGGTTATCAGTTATGTATATATGAGAATTGAAGTCGGGTTTTTTTGCTTAAAAATTACTTGTTAATAGTAAGTATTTTTTATAGGTCCACAAAAACTGCAATGGGCAGACAATCGCTAGTAATCAAAAATGGTAAAATAAACCATTGGGTGTAATTATTGGAGGTATCCTAAAGAGAAACAGAGTTTTCTGAACGAAATATTCTAAGAAAAATCTTTTTTCCCAAAATACATAATTTTATTCGGCATAGAATAATCGTGGGGCGAGCGCATTAAAATTCCGACTTTACATTTTCACATGCACTTTTGGACCACCTTACTGTATATATGTATATATACATAGATACGTACTTATTTGTTTTCTAAGTATTTCACGCTTTCGTTAATTGAGTTTCGCTTCAAAAGGCCACCGCCATTACCAGTTATTTGTGGGTGTGGGCGTTCGACTCGATACTCCCTCAATGAGTGGTTCAAATTTATATTAAATCCGCATTTGTTTTTGTGTTTTTAGATTCTTTAGTAAATTGTTACGTGTAAAGGACGTTATGCATAATTAATTCTATTTGTTTATTTTCTGTTTCTTTTATTTTTTT